GAGAGAGAGAGAGAGAGAGAGAGAGAGAGAGAGCATGAGTAGAAGAGGGGCAGAGGGAGAGGGAGAGAGAGAATCCCAAGCGGTCTCTGCACTGACAGAGCAGAGACTCAAATCCACGAACCACAAAATCATGACCTGAACCTAAGTCAGGAGTTGTATGCTTAACCGACAGAGCTACCCAGGTGCCCCGACACTGGCACATTTTGATGACAGACTGCTTGGCCACTGGAATCTCACGAGTTTCTCTTCACATGAGGTTTGAGGCTTCTTTCCATGTTTTCGATGGCAAACTTACATTTTCTTCTTCCGTGTATACTTGTCATTTGTGACTGATTTCAATGAGACAGGAATTGTGCTCCTGATCCTTGACTATTCATTCTTGTTGTGTGGGCTTGCCACTCTTCAGGGCTCACCTCTTCCACCATCCTTTTATGTAGCTCTCTAAGAATGTCTCCCATAATTGTGCATGAATAAGGACGTACTATAGTTGTTTACTGGTTTATATTTCCCACTACACTATGCTTTTTCAGCCCAGTGGTCCTGTCTCATTATTGTTTCCTCAGTGCCTACAACCAGGTCTAATGGTCTAGAAACATGCTAAAATTTAAGACCTATTCATAGCATTAAATGATGATTACATTTTGCTTTTTAAGGCTTGTAAAACAAATTCCTTCAGTTAAAATGGCTTCTCTGTAGTCCCTTTTGTAGCTGTGGCAAATGTGGCATGCTAAGTTTGTTCTCAATAGTTTGTTCGTTTGATAGAAATTAATTATATACTGGCTAGCAATATGATAGACAAAACACTCTGAAAAAAACAAATATAATACAAGGCATGGGTCTGACTATTAACTAGTTCACAAAGCACAAATGAGTAACAACATAATCAAGAACGATATAAATGATGTGTTTAAAATAAAGGGTAAAGAGAGAACATGATGTGAGTTAATAGATGGAAGCAGTGGTGTGCTGGTCATTATTTAACAACCAGCTCTCAATATAAAAGCCTCAATTTGTAGCATTTGCCAATTTCATGGTATAACTACTCCTACCATGGCTAGTTTCAGACTTACCTTGAGGTCACTAAAGCAAAGTTGGGAAAAGATGTGCATATTAGATCTTGCTAGCCAGTGTGGGCTGGCTCCAAGACACTCTGGAGGGGAGAGATGGTTACAGACAGGAATGGTCTGGGTAGACTTTATGGAGGAGGTAAAAGTTGTAACTAGTCTTGAAGATTGTATAAAAATTAGGTAACTGAAGGAAAATATGTTCCAGGTTTGAAGAACGGTGTAGACAATGCATAGAGGCAGAAAGAATGTGGAATATTTGGGCAAATATACTCAGCACATAGTAGGTAGCCAATAAATATATTTGTGAATAGTTGAATGGCAGTGAATCAACCATCTGATTGAGAAGAGACTTGAGAGGAAAACTCAGGTGTTATAATATTCTGTGGCAATCCACAGGTGTCTATCCTTCATGATGGTGCTTTTTCTTCCCTCTCCCTCTCCAGAATCTTCATCAGCTTAGCTCTGTGGGCTGAATGAGAAACTACTTTGCCATTTTCTTCTTCTTCTTCTTCTTCTTCTTCTTCTTCTTCTTCTTCTTCTTCTTCTTCTTCTTCTTCCTCTTCCTCTTCCTCTTCCTCTTCTTCTTATTATTATTTGAGAGGGGTGGGGCAGACGGAGAGAGAAAGAGAATCCACGCTGTCAGCACAGAGTCTGACACGGGGCTTGACCTCACAATCCTGGGATCATGACCTGAGCTAAAATCAAGAGTCAGACACTCAACCAACTGAGCCACTCAGGTGCCCCTATTTGTTTATTATTTTTAAGTTATTTTAATAACTATACAGATATCTAATAGTAAGGATTAGCAGAGAATTCTAGGAGGACAGAAAATTTTAAATTTTAATTTTCAGGGTGGCAAAATGGCCTAAAAGCCATATATCTGCATAATGGCCTTATCTATGTTAAGCAAACATGCCTTCAGACACTGAATTCAATTATAGTATTTTCTATAAATACAGATATAAGCAAGCTAGCCACAGATCAACTGTTTTTTAACTGTTTTCTCGTATATAAATGTAGAATTCTGTGGTTTGTCAGGGGTCAGCAAACTTTTTCTGTAAAGGGCCAGAAACTAAATATTTTCCATTTTGTGGGCCATATGGCCTCAGTCACAACTACTCAATTCTGTCCTTGTAGCATGAAAGCAGCCATAGACAATATAAATGAATGATGTGGCTGTGTTCCGGTAAATCCTTAAATACAAATAAGGCAGGAGACAGATTTGGCCTATAATCCATAGTTTGCTGATATCTTGCCTAGGGCATCAATGTGTCTAGGAAATCTAGAATTCTTTAACTTCATGGGGCACTAAAGATCAAAAAATGCCCAAAATTCACAAGGACAATATGGTATAAAAATGACTTCATAAAAAGAGTTCAATATATCTTTTCTGATAAGATGTTTTTCTAAGTGTTCTTCTTCCTTCTTTCTATATGGGTATAGGTAGTTATGATATATTGATATCAAAATTTTGGTGCTTATACACTTACTTAAAAACTGATTTCAGATAAAACTTGACTGGGGATATTACTTAATCCCTATAATATTAGAGTAGTCACGAAGGCAATAAAAATATGCCTAATAATCTTCCAGGCCAGTGGTCATTTTTAAAAAATGTTTTCTTTATTTTTGAGAGAGAGAGAGAGACAGAGTATAAGCAGAGAAGGGCAGAGAGAGAGGGAGACACAGAATCCGAAGCAGGCCCCAGCCTCTGAGCTGTCAGCACAGAGCCTGATGTGGGGCTCCAACCCATGCACCATAAGATCATGACCTGAGCCTAAGTGGGAAGCTTAACTGACTAAGGTGTGCAGGCACCCATAGTGGTCACTTTTTTAACTGTTATTATGTCCATACTCCTGGGAAAATGAGTGGGTTAGAAATGGTGATAATATAGCAAAACATCTAATTTTCAGTTTCAGTTTCTTTAAGACAGGAAAAATGGAACTTGTTATATTTAACAAAGAGAAGGAAAGTATTACCTTAATGGCAGGTATAAATCTGTGCCCTTTACTCATTGGCTGTTGTGAGAAAATTACCTGAGAGAGGACCAAAAAAAAAAAAAAAAAAAAAAAAAAAAAAAAAAAAAAAAAAAAGAGTCCTATATTCATCTGTCATGGTTCAGTGCTTTATTTCCTCCTCTCTTCCTGAAGAATTCCAGAAACAGAAAGCTGACCTTCCTCTATGTACTTCCTCTTCTGCTATCATCACCTGTGATTAAATCTAAAATCTTTATGGATAAGGTATTGCACATGTAATGGAAAAGGGTTAATAAGGGTGCAAAAGGCTCCAGGAGAATTAAATCACATTAAAGAAGATGGGTGAGCCATAGTGCATCATGTCTGGAGAATTAATCATATAATGCTCAGACCAAGGTTGAGATCAAAAACTCTATCTGTTTCTATGTGAGGGTCTGAGGTTGGAAAAGAAGAAATAACAATAATACCGCCAGAGAGAAAAATATATATATATTGAAGAGAAATGTAGCATATTTGTGTCCTGCCCAGATGGCCTTAGATCCCTTGTGCCAGCCTTGTGTGCCCACCTCTCTGCTTTTACATGCTTTCCTCCTAACCAGAGGACCGTGCAACCTTCAGAAGACTGCCCTTGGGTACTGGAGCCATATAGCCTGTCTGGAATGGACTAGTGCCTGGGACCTTTACAACTGCTACCTCAGGGAAACCTGTAACCAATGACTATTTGATATGGTAATGCAAAAACTTAGTTTTCTTGTGTTAAGGCAGGACAAGTTGGGGTGTGCTTTACACTATCAAAATCTGGCTGAGTCTGGGATTTCAACTGACATTATACTCTCATTTGGCTTTTTTCCCCTTCTTATCCTGCTTTACCCACACCCTTACTGGTTTCTCTTTAATAAAACACTTAAATGAAAACATTTGCATCCAACTCCTTACGTTAGGGTCTTTATGTGTGAGAATCTGATCTGAGACAACAAAGTACCATAATTTCTTAGCTTTTATATAATAGCTAAAGTCCTACTACATTTAATACCAATAAGCACATAATTTGTGAAAAAGTGTCAACCAACCTGTCAACAAATGCATGGTGAAGAAGAAAAATGGGATCATTGGCAGATCCCTGTACCTGAGACATCGTTCCATTCATATAGATGTGCAAGGCATTGTGCATGCTGCTTTGAGAGGCATCTGCTATCCCAGTAAGTGGACTAGCAAATCCTGTTGGTAAAAAGAAAATTGAAAAGAAAAAATGAGTTGGCCCTGGTAGTTGAAAATCTCAGTGATTATCTCATTTAGTTTACAACTACATTTGAGAGCTTAATTCAAAGTAATAAAATTCATGCTGTAGTAGGATTCTTTACATTTAATAAATCTTGGTGGAATTTAAGGGTATTAATCTGGGGACAGTGGACTGATTAACCAGATGGACTAGGTGGAGCCAGTTGTATGTCCTCCCGATGCTTCTGCCTATTATTTCTCCTCTGGATACTGAAAAGTAGTAAGAACTTTTTATAATAATCAGCATGGTCACTTTCACTTAGAGAAGATCTTTCCAGCCTGTTTTGTGTCTCCTTGCTTTCCAGTTCTGGAGGTTACTTTTAATTTTGGTTTCTGGTTCCAGAGGAAACATGAAATGTGTGACCTTCTGCATCACAGTATGGGGGACATCATCAGGTCATCATGTGCTAGATTTTGCAAACTACCCATTTCAAAGTTGATCAAGACTCCATTAAATGGTTCCCTTCATTGCATCAGAAATACTAACAGTGGGAATATAATAAGGATGAGAAATATTATTTTCGGAATATTAACTGTGCTAAATGCTTTTGGCAGCATATGTCCGCCAACCTTTATAGCAACTCTGCCAATTACAAATTATTTTCCCCATTGGAAAGAAGAGAAAACTGAGCCTCAGTGAAGTTGAATTTTCCTAGGCTACACAGGCACTGGAAGAGTTGGGATTTTAACCTATATCAGTTAAGATATAGATCTTCTAGATCTGAGCTCTTGTTATTTTGTGTTCTCTCTCCTACAGCACCTGGGAAGAGCAAGAGTAAGATATTTTAGAGTCCATGCAGACAAAACATAAAACATAAATAAAACTCAGATTCAGAACCATACAAAGAAGTTAATTTATCAAAGTTAAATTGTAAAATAGCAACCTATTTGGGGCAATATGGCTAAGGACATATTATTAAATTTCAGAATTTGGAAATATCAAACAAACAGAAACTGTCATATGATGATGATGATGATGGTGGTGGTGGTGGTGGTGGTAAAGGTAGATACACACAGTGGAGGCACTATGATTTGGGCAGGGGAGTTCTAGCTAATTTTGTGCATCTAGGTTTATTTTCTTGTCAAACTCTTCATTTTTTAAAGTTTATTTATTTATTTTGAGGGAGGGAGAGAGAG